TACGTGGCTTTGAATTCTAGTGTTGCCACTTACTAGCTGTGTGACCTTGGTACATACTTAACATCCTTGACTCTCCCTTTCACCTTCTGTAAACCAGCAATGATAATAGCTACTTTTTAGCATTGATGTGAGACTTAAAAATAATTATGTAGGAAGTGTATCTCACTTTTAAACTAGGTTTTAAAAAAATGTAAAATATCATCATGGTGGAAAACAGTTGAATGACATTTAGGACAAAAATGGAATTTGTATTTCTATGTTGAAATAGGTTACTTCTTTGTTAGGCTAAGATAATCACAGCTCAGTTATGTTTCAAAGCAAATTCATCCCTCTATTTTTAAACAACATGTATCTCCTTTTACTTCTATCATTAGGTACCCCTTCCTTTCAAGAGAAGTTTCATGATGTAGCTGAAAGTGAACTTAAATATTGGAATCCTGGAAGTCAGACTTCATTACTTGTTAGTTCTATAGCTATGGTCAATTACTTAACTTCTCCAAATTCTAATTTTTCTCAACTGTTAAGTCCATATAATAACCCCTAATCCAGCCAATTGTGCAAAAAATGCACATTTTATGAAGTAGTTATTTTTAAACAATAAAAGCATCAATTGTACCATACCTGGAAAACATTAAGTGAACACATTGAGAAAATACTCAGACTATTTATTGAAAACTTACATTTCCCAGTTCATTCTTATGAAGATAGTACTTACTAATGGTACTTTACCTTTTTTAGCAAAGTAAATTTAGCAATACAATTTTTAGTAATGGCAAGAGTATCTGATTTGAAATTAAGAAATCTGGATTAATTGCCATTAATCATTAAATACACAATAATGCCTTATTTGCTTTCATGTATAAGTAATGTATAATAAATATTATTCATTTATATATATTTGTTCCACAAATATTTATTAAATACCTACTATGTGCCATCACTGTTTTAGGCACTGATAAAACAAAAAATAAAGTGTTATTTATTTTAAGGAGTGTATTTTCATTTTGATACTCAAAACCACTGCATGAGATGATCAAGTGAGGCTCAGAGACGTCAATAGACTTTGCCAGGATCAATAACAAGTTGTGGAGCTCTTGCCACTGCTGGGGGGGCGGGGGGGAGCGGGGGGAGTGGACCAGGAGCAACAGAGATTCTCTTCTCAACAGGTAGAGGGAAAGAAGCACAATTGATACGGAAGATGTAAAGTTCTTAGCCAGGAGGAGTAATTCACTGCTAAAATACATCACAAAGAAAAATGAAGAGATCATTCAGTTTAATATAGAACAAAAAGCAAAGAAGGAAAGGAAGTTAGAGCATGAAAACAAAAATTTAGTGGAGCTAGCAGAGGCTGGAGGAGTGGAAAGTGAGACTTAATTAAACTCTATCACTGATTGGAAAAAAGCAGCCCTCCAGCAGATAGAGCCACCAAAAATGCATATTGCCACAAAGGGAATTTTGAAGGGATAGGTGGAGATTTAAAAATAAATAAATAAGGAGAGGAGGCTTTTTGTGCTATATTCTCCACGTCATTGACTACAAAAGTTAGTTTAAAAGAGAGCTGGAAACTCTTAAGCAAAATACTCCCATCTCATGTCTTACTTAATGAAGCACATAAAAAAATTATATCTATTGCAATTAATAAACTGTGTTAGCAGTTTAAAAAATAACAACTTGTGTCAATTTCAATCCAGTTCTAATTCAACATAGTTCTTCCAATTTACTTTCTGAAAAAAAGGTAAATCCTGGTTCTTTAAAATATAGTTCTCTACTCAACTAGATTATACTATCCCGAGATAGAGGAAATATTCATTCCCGTCAGTTCTTCTGAGAACTACAATGCTTTATGTATAATGAAATAGGACATTGAAAATGCTGCTTCTGCCATGGCCGGTGTTGCTCAATTGGCTGAGCATCGTCCCATGCACCAAGTGGTTGTTAGTTCATTCCCAATCAGGGCATATGCCTGGGATGCAGGCTTGATCCCCAGTGGGGGGCATTCAGGAGGCAGCCGATCAATGATTCTCTCTCATTGTTGATGTTTCTCTCTCTCTCTCCCTCTTCTTTCCTCTCTGAAATCAATAAAAAATATATTTTAAATTTTTTGCTACAAAGGTAGATCTATGTTAAGTATTTTTAACACAAAAAAATTAAATAATAATAGGATAGGAAGAAACTTTGGGAGGTGATGGATATGTTTAAAACCTTAATGGGCATAATGGTTTCACATGTGTATACTTATCTACAAACTCATCAAGTTGTATATATTAAATACAGATTTTTATATGCCAATCACACCACAATGAAGTAGTTTAAGAATAAATAACTAAACAAACAAAAGTATGGATTTTGGAGAGAAACAGACTGGAGTTTGGGTCCGTTTTGCTACTTATTAGCTGTATGACGCTGACCAAAATATTTAAACTCTCTGAAACTCAGTTTGTTCATCTGTAAAATAGGACACCACACATAAAATAATGTGATGTCTGGGATTTCCTTTTTTAACAACCTAGATGAGAGTGGGCAGGGGTTTGAATTAATCAATACTGGCCATAAATTGACAATTGTTAAAGTTGGATGATACATACTAGTACATAAGGGTTCATTATATCATTGTCTCTATTTTGTGAGACTAAAGAAAAATATACTGTTGTTTTAATCCTCTAGTTTGGTGGTAATTGGTTATACAATAATAAAAACCTAATATATATTTTGTCACCTAGAAGTAGAGTGCTTTGATAACAAACATCTAAAATGTGTCTGAAATACTTTTTATCCTGAGTAGGCAGAGACTGCAAGAATTTTGAGTAGCATGATAGAAGTCTTAAACAGTAAAAAATATGGACATTAAAGATGCTGCTGATGAGACCTCAGGAGAGAGAAACGTATCACTGGAAACCAAAGAATGAGAAATCCTTGTTGCAAAAAAGAAGAGGAGGAGGCAGAAAAGGAGGGGGTGGGGGAGAAGGAGGGAGGTAGGGGGGAAGAGAAGGAAGAGGGGGAGAGGAAGAAGAACTACTACTACTACTACTACTACTATTACTACTACTACTATAAAAACAGCTAATTGTATCCAAGGAATCCTCCATAAGATTATAAGCTGATTTTTCAGCAGAAACTTCACAGGTCAGAGAAAACGGCATGATATAAAGTAAGAAAAGGAAAACTCCTAAAACCAAGATTCAGAGTGATTCTGAGTTGCACTCAGGCTGCCAGTTCCAAATAATGTCACTAAAATCTCTAATAAAAAAATATTGTGTTAGTAACCCAAGACTGGTGATATTATGTATTGAGAAAGGTATGTTTGGATGACTATACATGAATCATTCTAAGTTTTCTTCAGGCCACATAGTGGATCCTCTGATTAGTAGCTAATGAATCTATTATTAAGACCTCAGGTTCATTAGCAAACATGGCATCACATAAAGTACTTAATTTAGGAATCAGAATTCCAGTCTTGTTTATCACTTATTAGCCATGTCAGCTAGCCTCTATGAACCTGATCCCTCAATTATAACTACAACTTCATAAAATCCCTTGAGGATAAAGTAATATAAGTAAAAGAACTCTGGTAACCAGAGAACTATGCCAACAATGCTATGGTGTTTCCAGGGTGTGGTAGGCCAATGGTGCATAATATGAGTCAAAAGAGGCCCTTTAAGGTGATAATCCTCCTCTGAAAACCCAATGTTTCACTGAAGCTGGAAACATAACAATGCACTAAAATATGTCTCTACCAAGCCTTAAAGGTAAGATTTGGGGACCTAGGATTACTTGGTAAGATAAGTACCATATGACTTCACTTCTGTGTGGAATCTAATGAACAGAATAAACTAAAGAAAAAATAGAAATAAACTCAGAGATACAGAGAATGGACTGATGGCTGTTAAGGGAAGGGGAGTTGGGTTGCTGGGTGAAAAAGGTGAAAGGATTAAGCAAAATAACAACCACCTATTGTCTCTTTGCATCTACAAAACATACCTTTGGAATGTCAAAGTAACTTCTTTTCTGTACCCCTCAAAGCACAGGTATGCAGAGCAGAGACCACAAATCCCCTTATTGTTATTAATCGTCGACTGTTAACTAACCTGCACCCACTTATGTAAAAGATGTATCATTTTACTTTATTTCATTCTTCAATTTAAAAAAAAAAAATTTAAGTTATTACATGTCCTTATTCACACATTACCCCCCACCCCCCCACCCCCCCCAATCATGCCCTCAGCCCCCCTTTGTCTGTGTCCATTGGTTAAGCCTATATACATGTATACAAATTTAAGTTACTACATGTCCTTATTCACACATTACCCCCCACCCCCCCACCCCCCCCCCCAATCATGCCCTCAGCCCCCCTTTGTCTGTGTCCATTGGTTAAGCCTATATACATGTATACAAGTCCTTTGGTTGATCTCTCCCCCTTAACCCCACCCTCTCCTACCTTCCCTCTGAGGTTTGACGGTCTGATTGTTGCTTCTCTGTCTCTGGATCTGTTTTTGTTCATCAGTTTATTGTTCATTATATTCCATAAATGAGTGAGATCATGTGATATTTATCTTTTTCTGACTTATTTACTTTTTATCCAATCCCAGAGGATTCCCTGCTTTGCTTTCTCCCACCTCCCTAATTTATCACCAATGGATTTCATGTAACCCACTTACATCTTCTCTTTTGACTGTAATGTAGTGCTCATTTCAGCAACACATATACTAAAATTGGAATGATTGTAATGTATAAAATAAGGTGCAAAACTGCCATTCAGACTCTGGAACATAATCTCAATCCATTGAGATTTTGCTTCTTGGCAATTGTTGACAGTTTGGCTCAAATAAACACAAGAATTCTCTAAAGGTTTGAATGCTTCTTACATTGACAGTATGCTTTTTCAAAATGCTAAGAGAAAGAAGACAGATACAATAGATTATGTTGTCTATAATTCCATTTATATGAAATTCTAAAGAGGCAAAAATAATGATAGACAACAAATCATTATTTGTCAAGGGCCATAGCTGGAAGGACGGGGTTGACAGCAAAGAGTCACATGAATGTTGAAAGAGAAGGAAATGTCATATATCATAATTACTAGTGGTAGATAGACGATTATATATGTTTTCAAAACTCACTGAACTTCTACACAGAAAATTGGAAATTTTTATTTAAAAATTATACCTCAAAATTTTTTAAAAGATTATATATAATAAATCAGCATAGTTAAGAGTGCTCCCGTGTCTCTAGCAGACAGCTGTCTCTCCTTGGTGGGCAGAATTTCCGCTGATTTTCACATCCAGATGTTATATGGGCACCTCTTCCTCGCTCTAGTGCTCTGGTGGGGGAGCGTGGCGTGGGATTGAGACTCCATGCTCCTGTGGGGGAACCTTTTCAGCTGACAGATCCCTCTAGAATCTCAGCCACCTGTGGGACTGAGGCCATCCCTTTTTGTATCTCCGCCCTTCCTATCAGTCTCAATGTGGTTTCTTCTGTAAAATTTTGGTTATGAGGCTTCTATTCAGCTAGTCTTCAGTTGGTTATTCAGGTTGATTGTTCTGTATTTTACTTGTAATTCTAGTTTGGTCCTGGGAGAAGTGAATGTAGCTTCCATCTATTCTGCCACCATCTTGGATCCACCTCTGACCTTTTTATAAGAAAATTTTTTTAAATTTTTGCCAGAAAAATAAGCAAACTAACACATACTTGAAAAGTAGCCTTGAACACAATTTAAAATCCTCCAAAAAATGTTCCCTAAACTCAGTATAAACTTGGCAGGTCTCTGACTGCTTTTCCCAGAATGTTACAGTATATAACAGAGGCTGTATGTTTAGATTATACAGGGGCCAGATTGATAATATAAGTGAGTGTCATGGAGCAAGAGGTACACTGCCATAAACTGGAGAGTACATGACCCCTCCCAAAAGAGCTGCCACCACTGAGTCCTACAGATTGACATAGGAAAGAAAACATACCGCAGTGTAGCCAGAGCATCTGAAGTTTGAAAAGAAGCAGCAATCTCGACTTGTATGGGAAATGTCCTGATTTTTTTGGAATGATGGTTCACATTTTTTCTATCAATGTGTGGGCCAAATAAAACACATCCATAGGCAGAAATATGACCTCTGGTCCACAGTGCAGACTTCATGACTTTTTCCATAACAAAGTTTTTCCATTTTTCTAAACACGTAACATCTTTATTTGTAATGAGCCTAGAATAATATACAATGCTAGTGCAACTGAAGTAAAATTCATCTCAAAATCACATGAAGGCTAGTCACCTCTGGCCATTTTGCTGAACAACAACGTCCTATTTACATTTCTAAGCATACTGGTTGGTAATAATAAAAAAAAAATCAGAATAAAGGGAGAGAGATGAGGAAAAACTGATGAAAATCACAACTTTAAGATCAGAGTCAGCTTCTAGACTCTAGAGGAATAAAATAATCCACGTGTTGAAATTTGAGGACTTCATTGCCCCAACTAGTCCAACCGGGCTGTAAATTTCGAGCAAACAATTCCAAACAGTCCCCATCTGGCTTGATATAGTCTTTTAAAACCTCTGTTCGAAAAAGAGAAAAAAACACAAAAATTATTATTAAGAAAGGAATCAATATCCTTTTAGCAGTTAAGAGTAGAAGAGCAAAAATATTTCCTTAAAAAAAAAAAGAGAACAAATTAATCTCAAGGATTTTGTCACAGGCTTTACTATTTATAGGTAGAAAGTCATTTGAAATAAGTATCCTTGAGATTGAAAAAAACATTATGAGAACTTCCAGTAGCCCTGATTTATCGGTTTTCGTTTGTAGATGAGAAATGAGGATTTTAACACCCACACAGATGACTTCAGTTTTCCAATAATGCTGACATGTCTTCTGAGTACAAACTTAATTTATTTTTTAATAAATGCAATCCATGCATAAAAAAAAGTCTACAGTAACAATACAAAGACAACTCACCTTAAAAACTAAGACAAAATGTAAGTCTCTGAAAACATATACTTTAGTGAAAGTACTAAGAACATTCTTTCACTTTCAAATTATACATCCTTATTTACCTAAAATTTTCACCATATTATTCCCACAATTAAGTATTCCTTATTCGTTATATTATTATTATTGAAAATGATATTTTGTTGGGAAAAAAGTATCTCATATATACTGGATAAGTAGCTGTGATCAACACTAACAGAAAGAAAAGAATACCACAGAAGCTTTTACCATGCTCACTTAGACAAATACTTAAGTCAATTTAACCTTAAATCACATTGCTAAGTTAGCTATTCACTAATTACAGAAACTGGGTATGAAAATCACAAGTCAGGGAAAAAAAGTCACTAAACAGGTAAAATAAAATCTTAATTGCTATACAAGATTGAGCTTGGAAGAAATCTATCAAATTCCCTTTAGTAATAAGGAGAGTTCCTTAGGAATAATTGATGTAGGTAAGGTTTAAAGGCCAATATATGAAAATTTTTATGTTTTTATAATGTTCTTCAATTGTTCTCACAGCAAGATACTTATTTGTCTGAAAGTATTGGCCCTGTTTAAAAAAAAAAATCAAAGAATTAAAAGTGCCTGTCTATAACTCAACAGAATTTAAATTTGAGCTTTGCTAGCATCTAGGAGATGGTAACATAAAGACTTCTAATCCTTTCATAAGTATAGAATTAAATGTTACTGAACTTGAAAGAGAAAGATTTCCCCAAAGTCTTAGGACAATAACCCTGTAGCATTTTTCTACTTTTAGCCCATGAATTCAATGCATTACCAACCTCAGTTCACTTTTAATGTGGTCTAAGATAATAGCGAACCAAGGTTCTCTTTGTTTTTGTTTATTTGTTCAGTTTTTCAGTACAAAGATGTTAGCAACTCTATTTTGGAAATTTAATCTAGAATCTAAACTGGAGTCAGCCAGTCAAAATATTTACTATTCTAAGTATCTACTTTAATCAGTGTTATGATTACAGATATCCATATTTTCTAAGAGTTCACAATCTAATAGAAAAAGATGACCAGGTACTTAGAGTGGAAAAATACATACAACTTAAACCCATTTACCATGTCCTTTCTCAATGCAACACATTACCGCATGATTTTTTTTCTTTCTAATTGACAAAAAATAGAAAATCAAGGAGTAAGTCTTATGATGCTAAATATTTGTTTAAGTTCAAAAGAGGGCAAATGACATAAAGGCAAATTAATAAAAAAAATTATTCTTATTAATTTTAAATATCAATGTAAAAGTAAATGCAAGATCTTAAAAGTTTCATCACAAGAAAAAAATGTATAACTATGTGTGATGATGGATATTAACTAGACTTATTGTTGGTGATCATTTCGCAATACAGATGCTCAACTTACGATGGTTATGTCCTGATAACCCAGCACAAGTTGAAAACATCATAGGTCAAAAATGCATTTAATACAATTAACCCACTGAATATCGCAACTGAGCCTAGCCTACCTTAAACATGCTCAGAACACTTACATTAGTCTATAGTTGGGTAAAATCATGTAACACAATAAATGCAATGTAGGTTTTAAGTGATTTGGTTAGCCTTGGGACTAGGTGGCTACCTGGGAGCAGTGGTTCACTGCTGCTGCCCAGCATTTTGAGAAAGTATGGTACTGCATATCACTAGCCCAGGAAAAAAAAATCAAAATTCAAAGTATGATTTCTACTGAATGTATATCGTTTTGGCACCAAGGTAAAGTCAAAAAATCGTTAAGTAGAACCATCGGAAATTGGTGGCCATCTGTATATACATATATTGAATCATGTTGTACATCTGAAACTAGTATGATATGTCACTTATATCTCAATTAAAAAGTAAGTGCAGCCCAGCCGGTATGGCTAAGTTGTTGGAAAACTGAAGTCCTCTGTGTGGGTGTTAAAATCCACATTTCTCATCTACAAACAAAAACCAATAAATCAGGGCTATGAACCAGAAGGTCATGGTTTGATTCCCATCAGGGCACAAGCCCGGGTTGCAGGCTCAATCCCCAGTGTGGGGTGTACAAGAGGCAACCAATCAATGGTTCTCTCTCATGATTGATGTTTCTCTCTCTCTCTCCCTCTTCTTTTCTCTCTGAAATCAATAAAAGTATATATATTTTTTAAAGTGCATATATATTTAAATGTGAGTATAATATGTACATACTTAGATAATTACATAATATCTGGCATTAGTAAATATACTTCTAACCAACAATGAGGAAGTAATCCATGCATAAGCCAGTCATTCTCCTTTTGCTCTGAGAGCAAGGAGCAGGGTTGGGAAGAAGATGCTCAAACGCTATATAGATTCTCATAAAACTATGTTTTACTCTTCAGATAGAGATTGTTACTGAGTAAAGCAGTAAAAAGGAGTGGAAATTCATCTAAGGTAAAATATAAAAAATAAAGTTAGATTAAAATACTTTTATTTCCTAATCTTCCTATTAAATCTTTAAACTTAAGAATATACATTTATAATGTTGGGTTATAAGCCATCATAGTTATTGATGGCTTATCTTTCAATCTAAGGAGGAAACTTCAAAACTTAAAAATCGGGTAAATGTATTATTTGAAATGAATATGCTGCTAATTTTGCCGCTTTTTATATTTTGAGGCAGAAATAACAAATTATAATTTTTTAAAAAATCTTGGTGTTTCTAGAAGCAAAAGAGAACTTTTCATTTTATGAATTTGCAGTTTAAGAACATTTACATGTAAAAGTGCTAAACATTATATAAATAACATGTATCATTCTAAATCCTAGAGTTATGATCTCAGAATAAAATATACTGCAGAAATTTGAAAGCTGCTTTCTGGTAGCTTTAATTTGTATAGCTCTACACCTAAAATACATGCACATGCTATATAACAACATGCACTCAAAAAGAAAGGATTACAAATATTTCTTGTCTACCACTACTTAGCCAAAGCATAAGGATTACATATATGGAATAATGTGATTCGCCCCCACTCCATTACCCCCAATCTAACTTTTGTTTTAAATGGTTCTCAAAGTGTACTTGTGCTGCTCTCTACTGGGAATATGGCAGAACTGCATTTCATAGATATAGGCTGTAACACTAATTTTTATTAGTAGTAACAAAAAACTAATTGTCTTCACTGTTTTACAACTTTATCTCTTTAAACATAATTTTATTTAAAAGTAATTGATAAATAGTTTAATTATTATTTAAGAATTAAAGATTTTGGATCTTAGCTTTTGGATTTTTAAAAGTAAAATAATAAGCCCTAAAGCAAACACTAAATTGAGCTTTGGCACTCACTGACTGATTCAAATTTAAGTGATAAGAATACAAATTAGAATTCCTCCATCAAATATAACTGGTGTCAAACAATTTTTTTTCTCAAAGAGCAGTACAATATCACTTTTAAGTCACATATTTAATGCATTAAAGAATCTATGGCAGTCCAAAGTTTAAAGGCAATTATTCACAGAGAATCCTTCTTCTAAGTAAAAAAATTAATCATGAGGTAGACATCTGAATATTTCTCAAATGAAGTAACACTACACTGTTTCTTCTACATAAGCAATTTAAGATACAGAAAGTCTAAGTGCTATCAATAAAAATTCTTTGGGGAATGTGTATTCACTTTCCTATATATCCTAACTCATAAACTATACCATTTTCTACAAAATAATATGACAGGATGGCAGCCTGTAGTTTTCCTGAATAACAGTTTGAAAAGTTGGGGGTTTTAAAAGCAGGGATCATCAAATTAATAAAATATATATTCCTAAAGAAATTATTTGAATAGCAAACTTTGAATATCAAATTCAGTTTCTCTCAAGAACTTACATCCTATTGTTTGAACTTTCACTTGAAAAATACAGATTCACTGAGCTTCTAGTATATGCTACAGAATTTCAAATATATTATAACAAATCCTTACATATCTGAAAGATTAAATATCATTATTCCCTCTTTAAATTAGGACTTTGAGGTGGAAAATGATTAGAGTAACTCATTCAAATTGCACAACCAGTATTCAAACTCATGGCAGTCAATCTCCAAAGCCAAAACTTTTCACTATTCCTTGCTGCTTAGTTTAATTGAATGATGAACATTATACTAAAGCATTAAGTCTAGTGAGAGTTGCAGGCTGCAGCAATTACCTTTCCAATGGTTCAGAAAAGCAACACTACCTCAACATAAAACCCTGAAAGTTTCTACCAAATATCAAGGGAATTGTAACCATCTCTGACTGCTATTCTGAGCTCCTGGTTTTAGAACAAGCAAGAGCAGCAAAACAAACAAACAAACAAAAACAACAACAAAAAACACTATTCATATATTCTGCTATAAAATTTTAGATTAATTAAAATAACATATCTGATTTAACTCCAAATCTCTAGACCATTCAAATACTAAATTCAATCCATTTTTTTTAATTTGACAGAAGTCAGAACAATTTTATTTAAAAAACATACCAGCAAGAGGTGGCTTATGTGAGTGAAGGGTACAAGGTACACTGACAATTAATTTGTGATCTGGAATGGGGAGCGTATTCCTAGTTAAAAGAGAAAAAAGTAAATAAATAATATTTTACAGGACATTTTTTATATATTAGCTACAGTTGCCTTAATTGTTTTCACCTTTCAAATAATATCTGAATTTAAAATTAATTTAATAGAAACAATAATGAAAATCAACAATTTAAGTATTAAGTACTAATAATTTCCTTTTCAACAATTATGACAATTACATACTACATACTACATAAGACAAAAAATATTATATAATTTCATATACCATACCATTCATACTTTTCTGGTATGGGACATTTGCAGATTTTTGAAAATGTAAAAATTAAAGAAAATCAATGATCAGTTGGTTAATAAGTTTTAAAAACCTAAAGATTAATACATTTATATAATTTTGAAAAATCACCACTCCTACCTTAATGGTAAAGTAGTTTTTTCTTGAACTCTCCCCAGTATAAGACCTTCATAAGGCTTTTTGTGTGGAGAATCTAATGGGAACACAAACTCTCCTGAATTGGTGATCTGATAGGAAGGAGTAAAAAAAATCATATATCTGTAAATATCCTGGAAAGGTTTGTTTGTAGGGGTTTTTCCTACATTTTTCACCAAAGAAAAAGAACTTATTAAACCTCCAAGCTAGTGTTGTCTAATAAAAATAAATATAATGTGAGCCACAAATAGGTATTTTAAATTTTCTAGACGCAACATTTAAAAAAGTCAAAAGAAAGAGGTGAAATTGATTATATATTTAGTTTAATCTAATATATCAAAAATATTATTTCAATATGTAATAAATTCAAAAAATGTATTGAGATATGTTATATTGGTTTTCATACTATACCTCCAAAATACAGTATTTTATACCTAACACCACATCTCAGTTTGGACTAACCACAAACTACCATATTGGACAAAGCAGCTATAAGGGACTAAAAAATATTTTAAAAATCACTTTATATCTTGTACACAAAAATCTCCAATTTTCATTAACATTTATTCCTGGAAACCATGCCATCATTAACTCATTTATTCATTCATTCAAATATTTAATGATTACTGGCAATGTGACTAAGTAGATTATAATACTTTCCTTCATTTATAGAAAACAGTGTCATTAATGATGTCAGAGCTAAAATTAATAATGACAGAAGCTCAGGGATTGATGAGATAGACAATAGTACAATCCTTGGGCATTATAAATCCAGAAATTAATTTTATCATTTCATCCTAAAGTGATCAGACTCTCAAAGACTCACTTAAACTTCAAAATGTAATTCATAACACTATAAATTCATTAATTAAAGGTGAAGATATACATTTTCATTATCAGAATATTCATATATTTTATCTATAGAATCCTTTACCCCATACCAAAGTACCTAAAAACAAAATCAGGAAAACCTTTTTATCACCACTAGGGCCCATGAGAGATAGCACCTCTACCATACAGTGCAGTAAAAGCACTGGAAATTCTCATTCTTTGGATATTCTTTATACTCAATGCAGATTACTCCTTCTGTTATAACAATAGGGTTTCATATACTACACTAGAGGCCTGGTGCACGAATTCGTGCACCAGTGGGGTCCCTTGGCCTGGCCTGTGGGATGGGACTGAAACCAGCTCTCCAACATAGCCCAACGGTTCCTGGATTGCGAGAAGGCACAGACCAGGCTGAGGGACCCCATCAGACCGCACCGGTGCACAATTGGAGCCAGGGGAGGGATGCAGGAGGTTGGCCAGCCAGAAAGGGACTGAGGGGGGGCTCCAGGGCATGTCCGGCCCATCACTCTCAGTCCCAATTGGCAAGACTGCAGCAGCAAGCTAACCTACTGGTCTCGGAGCATCTGCCCCCGGTGGTCACTGCATGTCATAGCAAGTGACCTTAGCATATCATTAGCATATTATGCTTTGATTGGCTGAACAGACGATTGGACACTTAGCATATTAGGCTTTTAATATATAGGACTGTATTTTTGTTTTAAACTCTGGTCTTACCATATTATCTCTCAGAACTGATTACTGCTACAAATAGTCTTAGTTTTTATGTATTAACATTTTACTGGTTATGAGTTCAGAGGGTAACCTTTTCCTGACTTTGGCACCAGTCTGACTATTAAAAGAAATGTCATAATGGGCAGGATGAAATAAGGTTTTATATTCCTGTCATGATCCTATACCAAATCAACCAAAGCTAAGCCCAAAATACATCATGAAAGCAAAAATACAGCTGTGAATGCTTGTTTGGAAAGTCCCATAAAACAGATGCAAATAAACAATGTACACAGCTTTTACAACATTTCAGTAGACTACAAAGTACAAACAAAGCATATAAAAATAGAACTCTCCTGTGTCTAACATGAATGTACCTATCTAAATATTAAACATTTAAGTGATAATAATTTGGCTTATCTTTCTAAAATTTAGGAGGGCTTTTGTGGAATTCATCTAAGTGAACAATGTATCTTTAAAAGGATGTCCTGTAAACTCTGAATTAATGCTTTAATTTTTCTGTATATTTTGGTATTCTTATAGCAAGCAAGATATTAAAGATCATTCAACCAATATGAGTGTTGCAATCATTCCTTTAAAAAATATGCCCAGCAGCACATAAGGCACCAAAGGACCTAAGTTAAGATTTAAAGTATGAAAAGTTCTTATTTCTAGCACCTTCCCATCTCTTCCACACTGGGTTACTTTGCTATTCTCCCTCTCATCCCCAGCAACAAAAGAAAGAAAGGAAAGGAGTCAAAAATGGTGACTGAAATTGTGGATGTATAAAGAGGAAGAAGATGAAAGGTAAGGCTATTTCTATGTTTAGTGATGAACAGATTCCTCAAAATGTTTGTTTGTTGTTTTTTAAACTACATACATCAGAGCTTTTTAAAAAGTCATCTGGTATTTCTTTGAGTGGCTTACTAAGGCCAGTAGTTTAGAACTCTGTTACAAAACAAGAGGAAACAAACAAAGCCTTAAAAATGAAAAGATAAAAGTATTTAGCAGCAAAGTGGAAGTTTTAATTAGACTATGTTGAAGGAGTAGAGCAGCGACGTGTTAAGTATTAAAAAGTAGATGCTATATTAATGTGATTTACATGTCATGCTATATGAACAAACAAATTAACTTCTGAACTTACTTTTAACCAGTGCCATTCAGCAATTATCTCCACAGACCACGAAGGATAAAGTTCTTCTTTTACAAAACGTAAGTGCTTCTGTCTATTAGTCACCCAAGTAATAACAAGACAGTTTGGAGCAGCCAGTTTAGGGATAGGTATTTGTTTTATTTGCAGTTGTGACAAATAACTATACCTAAAAATAAATAGAAAAATATTAGCAAAATTTGCTGCAAAGATAACAATAAGCAGGGAAAAAAACCTGTATAACACTCCATAAAAACAAAGCTCCCATAGGTATGTATTTGTATTACTAAATATGAACCCACAGTGACATCCAGTGGACACACTATTACAGGCAAGTCAGAAATAACTTCATTTTTTGTTTTTACTTGTTTAAACTTGTCAGGCTATATTTCTTTATCACTTCTAAATGCATTGCATTTCAGTAAATATACTAATATTTACAACATGCTTTTTACCATTATTGTTTGGTTGTCATAATCTGTACATTACACAGGGACCCTGTCACAGTGAGTCTTGACACTACTGTCTCAACATTCTACCCTATTTTCATCCCTCAGTCTATCATCCTCCTTCTTTCTTCCTCCCCAATCAATTCCACTGGCCACTCTAAAACCACCATGCCTTCATTACAAAAAAATTTAAAAAATTAAAAATCCTAGTCTTGCATCTCATGGCCATTAATAGTATGAAGTCTATTTTCCCTTGCACCACTTGCTCTACAATACTCAATCAAATATATGTTGCCCTTTCTCCAACACTCAATACATACAACTGGGAGAAGAGAGGTCAGATTTCTCCTAGGTCCCCTATTGCTGCTTCCAGGATATAATTCATCCATCCTTGCATAAAATCCCCTTCTCTTTGAGAGGTATGCTATCCAGCCATGCTAACCTCTAATGTTTCTTATAGAACAGAGAATTTTCCTCAATTTGTTCTCCTGCCTACACCTAAATTATGGGCTGATATGCAATTAGTCTTTCTGCTATCTCTCCTATATTCCTCAATTGACTACAATGAGGTTTCTACTATTAAATCTGCTCTAGAAAGAGTAAATGACATCAAAATGGCCAAATACAATAAACGCTGGAATCCAACTCTAGCGCAGGGTAACTGTATGTTGTCCACCTGAAACTGATATAAAATAATCATGAATGCAAAATGTAATTGAAAAAGTTATTGGCTAAAAAAATAAACTCAAAATGGTTAAAGACGTAAATGTAAGGCTTGAAACCATAAAAGTCCTAGAAGAAAACATAGGAAGTCAGTCTGAGTAATATCTTGTTATATATCCCCTCGAGCAATGGAAACAAAAGCAAAAAAACAAGTGGGACTTCAACAAACTAAAAAGCTTCTGCACAGTGAAAGAAATCTTCAACAAAACAAAAAGACAACCTACATGAAAGAAAGAATATATTCATAAATGACATTTCTGATCTGAGTTGATATCCAAAATATATAAGAAACCCATACAACTCAATAATTAAAAAAATAAGCAATACAACAGAAAATGGGGAAAGGTCATGAAAGGACATTTCTCCAAAGAATAATACAAAAAGATGCTCAACATTACTAATTATCATGCAAATCAAAACCACAATGAGATACTGCCTCACACTTGTCAGAATGGGTATCAAAAAGTCAATAACAAATAACAAATGTTGGCAAGGATACAGAAAAAGGGAATCCTTGTGCATTGTTGGTGGGACTGAAAACTGGTGCAGCTCCTATAGAAAACTAAAAATAGGTCCCTTTAAAAACTAAAAATAGATATGCCATACAACCCAGCAATTCCTCTTTGCGGTATTTAACCAAAGAAAATGAGAACAATAATTCAAACAGATATATATGTACCCCTATGTTCACTGCAGCATCCTATACAATAAAAGGCTAATATGCAAATTGTCCCCTCAGGAGTTCTACCAGGAGATGGGGAATTCGATCACTCACTATGGAGTGCGCTGACCACAAGGGGGCAGCGTAGAACATGGCAGGCAACCAGCACAGCAGCTGCAGGGCACTGAGAGAGCAAGGAAAGGAGGAGGCAGGGAAGCGAGGAGATGGGGAACCTAATTGGCCCTGATCGCCAGTCAGGCCTAGCGACCCTACCCATGATGCACCAGGCCTCTAGTCTTATCTAATAAAAGGGAAACATGGTAATTGGCGTACGACCGCTACCCTTCCCATTGGCTAATCAGTGAGATATGCAAATTAACTGCCAGCCAAGATGGCGGCCGGCAGCCAGGCAATTTGAAACTAACATGAGGCTTGCTTGCTTCAGTGACAGAGAAAACCAATGTTCCCTGCCTGCCTTGCCGGCCTCTGAGCCTGAAGTTTAAAAAATATTGTAACAAATATAGAAGCTAAACAAAACCCCAGAAACCTGCCTTCAGCAAGCCCGGGATCTCAGAGCTGGAATTGATAGAGTTTCGATTATAGAACCTAAACAAACCAGATACCTGCTTTTAGCAGCAGATGCCTAAGAGCTGGAGCCTCAGAGCTAAAGCTGGCCCAGAATAAAAAAGAAAGAAAAAAAAAGGAGCAGTTGGGAGCTTCAGTCCCAGCCTGAAAACAGCCCTCAGCCCCTCACCCAGACTGGCCAGGCACCCCAGGGGGGACCCCCACCCTGAAGGGGGTGTGACCAGCTGCAAACAGCCATCATCCCCTCACCCAGGCTGGCCAGGCACCCCAGTGGAGACCCCCACCCTGATCCAGGACACCCTTCAGGGCAAACCAGCCGGCCCCCACACATGCACCAGGCCTCTATCCTATATAGTAAAAGGGTAATATGCCTCCCAGCACCGGGATCAGCGTGACAGGGGGCAGCGCCCAAACCCCCTGATTGCCCTGCAGCTCTGTGTGTGACAGGGGACGGGGCCACAACCTCCCTATCTGCCCTGCTCTGTTCCTGACAGGGGAAGGCGCCCCACCCCCTGATCGGCCCTGCTCTGTGCCTGATAGGGGGGAGCTCCCCAACCCCCTGATCGCCCTGCGGCTCTGTGTGTGACAGGGTGTGGCGCCCCAACCCCCCCACCCCACGGGCCCTGCTCTGTGTGTGATGGGGTAGAGCCATAACCTCCCCATCGGCCCTGCCCTGAGTGTGACAGTGGCGGCGCCCCAACCCTCTGATCGGCCCTGCTCTGTGGGTGATAGAGGGTGGCGCCCCAACCCCCTTATCCGCCCTGCTCTGTGTGTGACAGGGGGCGGTGCCCCAACTCCCCTATCGGCCCTACTCTGTGAGTGACGGGGGAGCTCCCCAACCCCCTGATGGGCCCTGCTCTGAGCCCGACCAGGAGCTGCACCTAGGGATTAGGCCTGCCCTCTGCCACCCAGGAGCAGGCCTAAACCAGCAGGTCGTTATCTCCCTAGGGGTCCCAGACTGCGAGAGGGCACAAGCCGGGCTGAGGGACCCTCCCCTCCCCCCCCGAGTGCACAAATTTTTGTGCACCGGGCCTCTAGTTATTTATAATAGCCAATGCATGGAAGCAACCTAGGTGTCCATCGACAAATGAATGGATAAAGATGTGCTATACATACATAAACACACACACACACACACACACACACACACACATATACACTAAATGGAGTATTACACAGCAATAAAAAAGAATGAAATCTTGCCATTTGCAACAACATGGATGAAGAGGGTATTATTCTAAGTGAAATGTCAAGCAAAGAAAGACAAATTCCATACGGATTTTCTTACATGTGGAATCTTAAAAAAACAAAATAAACAAGACAAAACAAAAACAGACTTAATAGAAACAGAGACCAAAGGGATGGTTACCAGAAGGGAGGCGGTGGAGGAATAAGTAAAAAGGAGAAAGGGAATATCGTCAATAAAATTGTGGTAAGTTTGCATGGTGACAGATTACTAAAATTATTGGGGTTATCAGATAAAAAATGTCAAATCACTATATTGTATACATGAAACTAGTATACCAACATAAGATTGCATACCAACTATACATAAATTGAATTTTTTTTATTGCATTGGCTATTTTTGGCCCTTTGCATTTCCATATAAATTATGGAATCACTTTTTCAATTTTCACCGGAAATAAAATATCTTCTAAGATGATGTTTGAGATTGCAAAAAACCTAAACAATTTAGGGAGAATAGACACTATTTATATATTAAGTCTTCCAGTTATATATGGGACATCTTCTTTTATTAAGATTCTCTTTGCTTAGGGGATATATTCAATAATATTATAGTAACTAAATATGATGCCAGATGGATATTAAACTTATCGGGGTGATAACTTCATAAGATATATCACTGTCTAATCATTATGTTCTACACTTGAAAGTACTATAATATTGTATGTCAACTATAACTGAAAAATTTTTTAAATATTTCCTTTAACTTCTCTCAAAAATATTTTATAATTTCCAGTGTAGAGGTCTCATATCTTTGGTCAGATAATATCTAGGTAATACATTTGTAAAAGCTGTAATAAACAGATTACACACATACACACACACACACACACACACTACACAAGCACAATCCTACCAGGTATGACAGATTACCTCCAGCAGCTTAGGGCAAAAGTCAGATTATTAAGGAAATCCATACTATGGTATATATTTTGAAACTTGAGTGTTTGATATTAAAGAAGGCAAAAATGTTGCCCTTTGCAGAAACATCCCTGAATGGGTTCAGTCAGTAAACTCAGTAATTAATAAATATGTTACTTTTAACATCCTTACACCTATATATAGCTCTAGTTCAAGAGAATTATCTTCTTAAAGAAATTAAAACTTTAATACTAAAGTGTTTTAGCAGTTTGAGACAACCTATATCAAAAACTAATGTTTTTAGCACATGTAACTAAAATGTTCAAAGGACGATAGCCTTCAGAAAACATATCTAATAGAAGACTTATTTATACCTACCTGTTACTTCTTTTAACTGACTTGTTCTGCCATGGTGGATCTATCACTATCACATCATATGTTTTCCTACCTAAGAACAAAGACACAATTTCAGATACTTTAGAGTGTATGCAATCACCCTAAAACCTAAACATGTCCTTCAAAACCAAAGTGCGTTCACCACATACACAAATATAATGCAATGTAACAAAGGATTTGTGGCATTTATTCAAATAGACTAAATGAACTAAAAAATATTAATTTAGTACTGCTAGGATTTTAACATGATTTCACCTATTACTATTTTTATAGAGATTGTCTGAAAATAACTATAGCTCACTTAGCTGGACACCAATGATTTTAAAACCTTGTTAGTCTTCATAGCAATATTAATATAGTCCTTTCAAACTTCAAGGTTTTTTGCTTTATTTTTTTTAAGTTTCTTTATGAAATAAACTTTCAGTCTTTTAAATGATATATCAGCCATAATAAAATTTCCTCAATTGTCTACTAGTGTCGTTTTTTTTTCTGATCCTGGATCCAAATCAAGATCACACTTTGCATTTAGTTGTTATGTCTACTAAATCTCCTCCAATCTGGGGAAGTTCCTCAGTTTTTCTTTGTCTTTTATGATCTTGACACTTTTGAAGACTGCTGGCCAGTTATTTTTGTAGAATGTCCCTCAGTTTGAGTATTTCCTCATGATTAAATATAGGTTTTTTGGGCAAGAGTACCAATGAAGTAATGCTGTGTCCTTATCAAAACCACCTATCAGGAAATACAGATGTCAGAATGTCTCATTATTGGTGATACTACCTTTGATCACTCAGTTAAAGTGTAGTCTACAGGTTTCTCTAGGTTTTCCTTTGTAATTAATAAGTGTCTTGTGGGGGAGATACTTTAAGACTGTGCAAATATAGTGTATCTCATCTCTTCACCCACTATTTTTATATCCAACTACTGTGGTATTTGCCAAATGTAAATTTTCCAGTTCCATCATTCATTCCATCCACATTTATTAATTGGAATTTCACAGTAAGGAAGAGCTGTCACTTCTCCTCCTTTTATAAACAAAAGTGATTTATATTTTTGTAAATATACAATCTCATAAGTAATCAAAAGAACGCAATTTAAAATAAGGAAATAACAGTTTTTAAACTATTAGAGTAACAAAAATCAAAAAGAATGGAAAAAATGTTCAAAAATAGCATGATTTTCTCGTTAATTTGTTAAACTATCATTTACCCTGTGGAATTTATAATACTGTGGCATGAATAACCACTCATGTGTAAGATGGCTTGATCACAATTAAAATAACCTTTCCATTAATAAGTTATGTCATTTTAACTAAATTTTTACATAAAATGTCCAAATAATAATAGCAGATTAAATTCAACTTGATCAATACCTACCTTTTACCTACTCATCCCTTAGAATACTGAGTTGTAATTTATTAAAAACATATAAATCACAGAGCTAAACTCCTGATGCAGATTATTCATTTAACATCAAAATTACCCTAAGAAGTGGGTATTATCATATCCATTTTATAGATTAGGGAACTCAAGCTCAGTTTTGTGAAGTACCCAAATTCACATTTAGTTAAGCTTCAGAATCTAAATTCAAATTCTGGTCTGGGCTTCAATATTTAAGGTTTTCAACTTTATACAGGAAAATGTTTCAAGAAATTTGGTACAATAAACTTGAACATTAGCTTAAAATAGAAGAACCTAAAAGCCTAAGAATTAATATTCATATCTGAAGTGTTTCTACTTTGCTATGAAGAAAAGTTAAATAAAATTATTTGGTCAAACCCAATTGTATCCTGAATTCCTAAGTACAAAACAGTAATTGTATTTGCTCTCATAGGGACTAAGTATTTCTGACCCCTTGTTCATAATAAGAATTTAAAATATTTTTAAAAAGCAAAATTCAGCATTTTAAACTTGAATTTAAAAGCAAAATTACATTGAGAAAATTCAGTGTTTTTCTTATCCTCATAAAACGTTTGCCCTCAGTTAGTATTCAGACTAGCTCCTGACTTTTGAGACCACAGAAAAAGTATCTTTCTCTAATAATAAACATAATAATTACTTACAATTCAGAAGCGGGTGCATACAAGAAATGTCAGACAAAAGAAAACTGCTTTTTGGTGGCACCAGGTATTTCTGTCCCATTAAAGTAATCATTTTTGTAAATCTAGAGTTGTTTTCAACAATCCGTGAAAATAAATCCTGCTCTGTAACAGACATATCGTTTTCCATCAATTGTAATGTCAGAAGTTCCATTTCATTCAGAGAAGGCAAATGCTTTGCCATTTCACATAATTCTGATAAATTGCAGGTATCAAATGATAAAGTAATGGGCTCATTACACTTGTCCTGTTTTTCAGAAAGTGGATGAAGAAAGCCACTTTTTAAACCTTCTTGGATTATCTGTGAAGATCCATCCAAAATCAGCCCCCTGATCTGTAAGAAAAATTTTTAAGTACATTAAAAGGTCACTGACATTAATACAATTTTCTAAAAAATGAAATTCCTACTGTGCTTTGAATATGTAAACATTTATGGATTGAAATCAAAACAGAATGCTTATAGGAAAATAATTTTATACTACAATGAAAAGATAAGAATGTATGAGTATACTTTTGAACTGCAGTTTCCTAATTGGGGAATGATCCAAACCTCATAAATTCACTGAAAATTAAATAACAAAGCAGTATATATAAGAAAATACATCCTTGCCCTAACTGGTTTGGCTCAGCGGATAGAGTGTCGGCCTGCGGACTCAAGGGTCCCAGGTTCAATTCCTACAAGGGCATGTACCTTGGTTGCGGGCACATCCCCAGTGGGGACAGTGCAGGAGGCAGCTGATCGATGTTTCTCTCTCATCGATGTTTCTAACTCTCTATCCCTTTCCCTTCCTCTCTGTAAAAAATCAATAAAATATATTATAAAAAAAAAAAAAGAAAATACATCCTTAAGTTATAAAATGAATTTGATAGTGTTTCTAAAAGAAAGTATAATCTCTAATCTGTAAAGAGAATTAAGTTCAAATCACAAGATTTAAACTTAAATTTTCCTAGTGATTTAATTTTAAAATAAACATACTTTGAGTTTATAAAATATAGCTTGAATTATTAAAAAATTAAAGAAAAATAACTGTAAAATGAATATATAAACAGTTTTGCAGACATGCATCTACAATAATCATAAAAATAAAACCCAGTTCTGCTTCTGGACAAGATGAAGTACATTTCATCTGAAATAAACTTAAAAATTATTTTCTAAAAAGGCCTTCAGATGATGGATAGATGTCAAAGAGCAGAGCAGTGGTCTCTAAAAAGAAGCAAATGATTGCTCCAGCCAACTGCCTTGAGAAAGTTTCTAGGCAGCAGCACAGAGGATACCATTCAGAGTCCAACCGTCTCTCTGAGTTGAAGAGACAGAGCTTGGAGTCTGAAAAGGCCAAGCAGGTAGAGTATTCAGAGGAGGATACCACAGAGGAAGAGCTGCACAGAGAGAGGTCTTCAAAGCTGCAAAGGGCCAAGTCTCCACTTCAGTATTGATCAGCATATACATATGATGAAACTCAAAGTCAAGGAAAGAACCAGAAATGATCAAAGGGAACAATCCCCAGAGCTCATACAGGGCTGGGAACAGTTAGTGCTCCCATTGGCCAAATGAAAAATCTCATAATTCACAAACATTGCCTCAGTAATGGAAACAAACAAAAAGCTCTAAGTCTGCTTTAGTTGGTCCTAACTAAAAAAGCTTAAAGGAAGTCTCAAGAGGATCAACCAGTTTCAAAGTAGAGGATACCAGGGAATGGGAAGTTATTATTTGATAGGTACGGATTCTAATTGGAATGATGAAAAAGTTCTGGCAATGGATAGTGGTGATGATGGCACAATAGTGTGAATGCATTTAATGCTAAATGATACACCTATAAAAGGTTAAAATATAGATTTTATTATGTATATTTTACCACAAAAAAACATTTTTGGGGGAAAAAATCCAATGTCATACCATCACATTAATTCAACATGTCCAACCCTGGTTTCCCATCTCAATTGAAGGTGTTCCTTAGGCAATTAAGCTTAAATATTTGTGTTCCCTCAGTTTTCTCCCATTTCTTTACCTCCTAGATTTCATTTATCTCTAAGTTCCAGAAATATATCCTTCATATTATTCAGGCTTTCTTCTGCCACTCTCTTAAGTTGTTTTAGCTATGGACAGTAGGCTTTTATAACTTATAAAATTTCTAAACTTAACCAATATAGCATAAATTTACTTACATTAAATATGTAAAATAGGAATATATGAAGTTTTAATAAAAACTTTGTTTAAATTGTTCATTACTATAAAAGTAGCAATAAACCACTCCTTTATTAAATTCTAACCTTGATCACATGATTGCATTTTTAAGAACATCCTTATTTATATCGTCTGTCTGTTTACACTACTTCACATCAATCTTATAATGTTATCAATGAACATTTCACACTTTACCTTTTCATGGTATTCCATAGCATCCAATTCACCTTGATTGAAATCAACACACCTTTTACGCTTCTAAAGAGTAAATTACAGGGAGAAAATTATACTGCCATCTATCACAATATTAATATTTTGAATTTTTTTTCTTTAGCACATTTTCCATATTGGAGCAACTCAGTCTTTAAAAGGTAATAATTACTATTTAGGTCAAAATCAATGCAGAGGGTATGGAAAAAGGATAAAAATGTTTTCCCACATAATTATTATTGTTACTTTTACTACAAATTGAATAGGTGATAAAAGGTCACCTCAGCCTTATCAGCTATTAGTAAGAAATAGTACTAAATGGTACCAGTGACATCCATGGAACAACTGAGACATTCTTTAAACAGTCAGCAGTGTCATCTGTCAGTTGATATATATGGTATAATTATTCTGGACTTTCTTCAGTTCTGGAGAAGAACTATCATCTATATACCTAAAAAATTGTCCAATGTATTTTTAATAGTTGTTTGTAATTGATCTGAGGGCTAGGTACAAATCAGATATACTAATACTATCCTATATCTAACAACTCCAGAGCAAAGAACACGTAAGACAGTGCAATACAGAGCAGGGCCTATGTACTTTTTATTGCTGAACCTCAGTGCCTACATGGTGGCAAACTCCTAGCAGACTAACAATAAATGTTTGTTGGCTGAATAAAGAAAAGGATTTAGATTAAGTTAATTGCACAATTTGCCATAGCATATCAGAAATAAGGTAAGTTTTATCAAGATAATCTCATTACATATGCTCATCTATATTTTTCCATATTAAAATGAGAAATTTACCCAATATAAGACACCTAAACATTTAAATACTAAAATACATAAACATTAAAAGACAATGTCCATTCTTGGTGAACTGTAAGGTCCTTTACAACTGTTTATTATTATTTGCCTGAATTAATAACAGTAATGATAAATTACCTACATACTATATTACTGAAAGCTCAGAAATATTTTCTGTGCCTGACACATAGCAGATGATCAATAATTAGTTGAAAGAGAAAAAACATATGTATGAGGAAAAAAATCACATATTAAAATTGCTACCTCAGGTACCTATAACAATGTAATAATTTACCTCTATTAATTTTCTTATTCTAACTCTCAATATGTTTAATACTATCTTTCTTCCCTTTACAATTATAAGATCCATGAAGGCGAGGATTGTATAGCAAGGGTTATTAGCAAATTGTTAAAAATTACTCTGGATACACTAAAGCCTTCTTATGCTTGATTGATTCTTATGCTTTATTCTTTAAACTTAGTAAATCACAAGGTATTTGATCCTGGAATAATAAATCTCTTGTTTTCTGTAGAAATATAAAAATTTCTTAAAACTTTCTACCTTCCCCAGAGTAGAAATGGAGATTTCTTTTTTAACACCATTCATTAGATCTTCCTTTTCATTATTTTGTTGGCATTCCTTGTGAATAGCTGAAGTTATATAAGGTTTAGTGATATCAAACAGTTCAGATCTAAAAATATATTTTTGTATGAACATTTCACAATTTCCTCCACCATCATTCTTGGGCTTAGTGGTAGGGTCGGAAGCAATAAATTTAGTTGAGGATCCAAAGGAGGACACAGAATCAAGGTGAACAGAAGCAGTGGGCTCATTTTTACTGCAACAAGACTCATGATGCTGGTGAACTTGATAGTTGATCTTGTTAATGAAAGAGAGATGATCCAGTAACCATCCTGGTGACAGCTGGTGTACCACTGACATTCTCTTTCTTTAAAAAAAAGAAAAGAAAATACCTCTGGGAATGAGATTAGAAGTAAAACCCAACTTTCCAGATCAAGTTCTTAAATGTCCTGTATTTCAATAAAAATATACTTCATACACAAATACACAAGTAAATAAACTTGACATGTACACAAAAGAAAAGTTAGCATTCGTGATATGTAGCAGGTCTAAAAATAATTACAGTGTTTTAATATAAACTTTTAATATGAGGATTAGTAATTCAAAATTTTCAGCCAACTTGGACAAAGTTAAAACCTGATCTTATTTCTAGAATCCCAATTTGATCTTTCTATCTTCCTGGGCCCTGCTTGGATCCAGCCACTGTGTCTACATCTTCCAAGTCAGAAAGTCACTGAATCCTTAACAAGTGACAGTGTCCTGTCAAAGCAAAAAATGCTGAATTACCTATGTGAATCCACCCTTTTTAGTGAAATAAACCTAGAGGTCACAATTTCAGAGGAGCTGTTAGCATATCAGCTCTTGTCTTTCAAACTACATTTAACATAATAAGTCAGCCCATTCTCCGGTATCATTGCCTTACTTAACCACTGGTACCAATGGAGTGCAAAAGGATAGAAAGTAAAGCAAAATGCAATTTTAACAGCACTAAACCACAGCAAAATTGCAAGGTTACAGAGTCTAGATGTGTATTGGTTCTGCGCAGTTCTCCTCCAGCAACTAGAACTTCCTTTTTTCAAAAGATGCTTTTCAGTTCTGGATATTGCCTACTAAATCTAGTATAGTGGAACGCTGATGAGGGGGGACAAATTAATATATGTGACTAATAGCACAGTTAATACTAGTAACATCTAGATTCAAACTTTTACCTCCACGCATTAGCTTTATGACCACGGGGCAAGCTATTTGATCTCACTGAGCCACAATTTCACCTTTTTTTATGGCATCTCGGAGGGCAGTTTAGAGAACGTAATGCGATAATCGACATGAAGTGCTGTGCAGTGCCTGGCACAAGGCAACTGCTCAAACAAATGCTTTTGGTGACGGTAAATCTGGTACTGGTCCTCCCTTCCGAGTCACCGCGGTGGTGAGGAGGTCCTGTAATATCCAGCGAGAGCTAGAAATGTAGATAGGAAGACTGAAACTCAGACAGAAGGGATGGCGTGCCCCAAATTACAACTGTAGTTAATGGCACGACTGCTACAAGGCCCAGGTACCCCGACTTTGGTTCTGAGCTCTTCTTCCAACCCCACCACCCTAGGTATCATAGGCGGTGTTTGTCCGAGTTCAGACTCAGGGAAGCGGGAGTGACTGTGAAGGGAGGGCCAATACCAGGTTTACCATCACCAACAGCAGAGCAGCCTATGCTCACTGCACCTCCCGGCCTCTCCTACTTCTCGGCTTCACACCAATCACCCCCTAATCATCCGGATTCCTGCTAGCCTCTCACAGGACACCACCAGACTAAAAAGGTCGTAAAATCCTAGCGAGCAAATTCTGAGCTCGAACCCAGGCGTGGGCCACACCGGCGCGATCTTCGGAACCGACTGCGCCCAAACTCAGCAGGCTCACTCCCTCCTCCCTCACTGCTTCCCTCATCAGAAAAGTGCAGCCGGCTTCCCAGATCTGCATCGTGAAAAAAGCACGCATCTAAATAGTTGTCCTAAAAGACGCCCCTTTCAGCCCAACGCGGGGGAGAGGAAGTCTTCTCTAAGAGCCAACGGGCGCATCCATGTTGCTGTACGGACAAAGCGTTGCCAGGGCGACTCAGAGCGCTCTGCCCCCGACTCAGCGACTCAGAGCGCTCAGGCCTTCCGAGCTACACTGCGGGTCGGACCGGACTTGGTCGGGGACGCTTACTGGGCCCGGGAGACGCCGGCGCGCCAGGCGAGACGGTGGGACGCCACACACGCAGATTTGCCGCGACGAGCAGCCCCCGCGAAAGAGATGCGCACGCGCGAGCACGGGACGTGATGACGTCAGCAGCCGCGGAGATTTTAAAATTCTAACGGCGCAGGTGGGTGGGCCCAGGCGCTGGTGTTTTGGCGGCTGCTCTCCTGTCCCGCAGGTTATCGCACGGTTTACGGAAATTTGATTTCTGAATCCGGTCAGAAAACTGGAAGAAAGGTGAGTAATGACTTTGGGTTATTTTGTGGCGTCAGGGAGAAGGCGAGGGCGCCCACCACCAGAGACCCAACGGGGCGATGGTCTAGTGTGGGCTGTTGTGCTGCTGTGGGAAGCCTCGGGCCCCACTCTGCGAGGCATTGGTGTCCGGGAGTCCAATAACTTTCTCCTGGCAGCGACTTCCCACGGGAAAGGGGGTGGCCTGGGGGCCGCTGATCGGGGGGAGAGAGGCAGGAGATCGGAAAGGGGGGAGAACTGAGGGGAGCCAAGGTCAGGAGCCGCTTGGTGGATTTGAGATAGGAGTGTAACAGCCTACTAGGGCCTGGGTACGTACTTGGGGAAGTCTTCATCTCCATCTTCAGAGTACATTTCAAGTATTGATGGGGAGCGGGCCTATGGGTTAGAGTGGAAACGTTGATGGATGGACGGATGCAGAAGCATATGTTTAAAAAGAAATGCATGGGCAAACCAAGAAATTGAGAAGAAAAGAAAAATGCTGAGAGGTTGTAAATGAAATTGCAGCAGCCAGAGGCCGAGAGATAAAAGCAGAACAATTAGCCTGTTGATAGCTGTTGACCAGCAGCTAACACAAGACGGCTCAGATGCATCTATGTTTGTGGGAATTTAGGATCAACTCCCTGGGAAAAGATTATTTTAAAGGAACAATGGAACTTGACTGCCTTTCTGTTTGAAGATAAAAGTGGGTGCTGCATAGTGCCACCTGGAAAGTTGTGGGTTTTTTTTAATACTGAATTCATGAATGCAGGTCGTAAGCATGAAGCGCAGCTCAGTTTCTACCGGCGGTGCTGGCCGCCTCTCTATGCAGGAGTTACGATCCCAAGACTTCAATAAACAAGGCCTCTACACCCCTCAGACGTAAGTATCTCATGCCTCATTGTCTTGGACAAAGCAATCTGTAAAGGCGATAGTAGCAGAGCTGCACTATCAGTGATGTCCGATGAGTCTTGTCTGTGGCCAGTGGCACCCGATTTTGGGTCAGTGACAGCTAAAAGTGGGCATATTCCTAAGGTGTTGTGCCTTACCTCATTTGTTCCTTAAGGCTCAATGCCGTGTCTTTTGCCAGGCAACTGACATTCATTCCCTGTGCGGTAAGTTTCAGCTTGCTGAGGTGTATTCAGCTAGCAAAGTTCTCGGTTAAAGGTATTATTGGCAGCAAACGGTAAGCTGCAGTTCAGTAGCCGTCCACGGAACACCACTTCTCCAGACTGTTTTCTCAAGATGCGCTGGGAAAAAAGGTGTCCAAAAGAACTTGCTGTGGTAAACTAGTTTTACTCTATGAGTGATTTCCTTCCTACTAAGAAAAAGGCTATTCGTGAGCCCCTGTAGATCTGTATCAATCCTTCTCGCATACCAAGTGACAAGACAGACATTCTGAAGTGCTCTAAAATAAAATGTCATGCAGCTTACCGTGGCCTGAGAGTGTGAGAGACGGTTAGCCGTTAGTAGCTGTGGGCCACCTATGACGAAAGATTGCTCGCATTTCTCTATATAGGCTGGAATTTAGGCTTAATTTCAAGATGGCTATTTCTGTGAATATCCACCAGAGAATAGCCAGGTGCCTTGGAAGCCCAGGTGCCTCTCCACTTGTTCGTTACATATCAACTTTTCAGACTGCCACCCGCAGCTAACCCAAAGGAGTGGATGCTTCTTCCTTGCTAACTCTGGACCCATCCCAGAACTGGCCCCACTTCAGCCTCTCACCCCTTTTGCCCATAACTAATGTAAATTCTTTCAGAATAGCTTACATCTCCCAGGACATCAGACATGTCTTTTCATCTAGCCATGCTGCTGGCGGTTCAGACTTAATGCCCTAGAACAGTGATGGCGAACCTTTTGAGCTCGGCGTGTCAGCATTTTGAAAAACCCTAACTTAACTCTGGTGCCGTGTCACATATAGAAATTTTTTGATATTTGCAACCATAGTAAAACAAAGACTTGTATTTTTGATATTTATTTTATATATTTAAATGCATTTAACAAAGAAAAATCAACCAAAAAAATGAGTTCGCGTGTCACCTCTGACACGCGTGTCATAGGTTCACCATCACTGCTCTAGAACCTGGTCTTTTTTGCTAGCAATGGCCTAATAAATCCTTTCTTTTCAAAAAGAATTTCAGCCATGAAATTAACATATTTTGTTTAACATAAGGTACAAGTTTTATTTGCTAACTGTTCTTAAATTGCTTAGGTTTACATAGTATAAGCTGCAGCTACTTTTAGGAATTTGAAATATTTATGTATGGTTTTTCTTCTGAAGTCAGAAAAAACTTTTGTACTGTTGCATATTACTTAACACTGAAAGATTTGTCTTGAATTGCACAGAAACTAAAAGGCTACCATTTTCAATGTTTTAGGTCTGTAATTTAGATAATGTATGTTAAGTGTAGCTGTGTTCTGATAGACTAGGCCTCAAAAAAATTTTTTTTAATGTGGCTATCCTATGATTGAAAATATTTTTTAAGTTTTTTCTTTTCCTTTAATGTTGTTATCCATAAATGTCTATATTTTAAGATAATTGAAATCATAATGTAGCTATCTTTTCTTCATAACATTTTAGCATTATAACTTATACTGTATTAGCCTATTCTCCTTCTTGCAGTTATAATTGCTACTAAAAGTTTTCATAATTTTGAATTATTTTTATAGGTAATAGGAAACCTAATATGTTGGTTCTAACATATTTCCAAAAGTTTCTTGAACTAATATTTTTTTATATTTATCTTAAAGAGTGTGTTTTCCTCCTTTTCTTAAAGCAAAGAAAAGCCATCCTTTGGAAAGTTGAATATGACCAAACCCACATCTGAAAGAAAAGTCTCTCTATTTGGTAAAAGGTAATGATATTTTTTATTAGTTCTACTGAAGGTATTCTTCAAGCCTAGGGTTGAACTAAATGCTCTCTGGATACAAAAAATTAGATAGCATGGTCCCTTTCAAGAGAAAGTTTTAATCTAGCTCTCTTCTGTTTTAAATGGTTATATCTGCTTTATAGGATGCAAAGAGATATATCAGCACAATCAGACTACTATTCTTTGTTGATTTCAGAGGGGAGGGGGGGAGAGAGAGAGAAAGAGAGAGAGAGAGAGGGAGGGAGGGAGGGAGGGAGGAGGGGATGGGGGAGAGAGAAAGATAGAAACATCAATGATGAGAGAGAATCATCAATCAGCTGCCACCTACACGCCCCCCACTGGGAATCAAGCCTGCAACCTGGGCATATGCCCTGACCAGGAATCGAATCGTGACCTCCTGGTTCATAGGTCGATGCTCAACCACTGAGCCACACCAACTGGGAAGACTACTATTTTATGAATAGTTAATTTAAAATTCTATACCTAACTTTCAGATACTATGGAATCATAACATTTAAAGTTAGGAGAAACTGTTATCTAGTTAAACATTTTAGTTCCAGACTTCTTTATACACTTAAATATTAAGACTCCAAAAAGCTTTTATTTTGTGGGCTATATCTCTTGATATTAACCATATTAGAAATCAAAACTGAGAAAACTTTAAAATATGTATTAATTCAGTTTAAAATAAGAAGCCATTACATGTTAACATAAATAGCATCTGTTTATTTTAGTTTTTCATAAACAAAGCGGTTTTAATAAGAAGCATGTCCTTGTTTTCATCTTTGCAAATTTTGTTAATGTCTAGCTCAGTGGTTCTCAACCTTCCTAATGCCATGACCCTTTAATACAGTTCCTCATGTTGTGGTGACCCCCAACCATAAAATTATTTTCGTTGCTACTTCATAACTGTAATTTTGCTATTATGAATCGTAATGTAAATGTCTGATATGCAGGATGTATTTTCATTGTTACAAATTGAACATAAGTAAAGCATAGTGATTAATCACAAAAACAGTATATAATTATATATGTGTTTTCCGATGTGCCGGGAGCCAGTCCATCCTTGCTGTTTCAAGGGACCTGGCATATATGGCATACTGTTCTTAATATGTTTGCTCACCTTCTTGGCACTATGTGTTTTAACCAAAGTCACCTCTCTGAGAAAGGTTGTTTCCCCAGGTAGGGATTTTCCCCTGAAGTTAGAGAGGGAATAAAACCCCTCAACTAAGTGCCAGGCGGGTAATTAATCACTTTAACTACGAACAATCATGCTTAAGCTACATAATCTTTACTCCCTGGAATGGAGATAAGAAATGCCCTAACCTTTGTAATAGAGATTGATAGGATTGAATCAACTGGTATAAATACAGATGTAACAAGACAGAAAGAGACAGAACTTAGAAGACAGAACCAAGAAGACAGAACCTACACAGAACCTAGAGACAGAAGAACTTCGCTGGAGAGAACATGGCAAAAGATCCTGGACTGAACCTGACTACAGAAATTGGCAAGAGAACCTGACTAGAACCTGGTGACTGAACCTGGCTGGAGAACCTGGACAGAACCTGGCTGGAGAACCTAGCGAGGGAACATGGCTACAGAACCTGGCTGGAGAACCTAGCAAGAGAACATGGACACAGAACCTGGCTGGAGATCCTAAGCAGAACCTCTCTGGAGATCCAGACCAGAACTTGGCTGGAGATCCTGGCTAGGCTGCTGATCAACTGAACGCTGCCTCTGTGTCGTTCCTTCTTCGCCGACTCCGTCTACGCCTTTGGGAACCCCTGGACCTGCTGGGGTTGGACCCCGGCACCGATGGTCTTAGGCAACCCCTGTGAAAGGGTTGTTCGACCCCCAAAGGGGTCGCAACCCACAGGTTGAGAACTGCTGGTCTAGCTTAATAGAATATATTAAATTCTCATATCTGCTGCATCCAGTCTCTTACAATATCATGCATCATATAGTCAGCCT